AAAGTTAGAAATCAAAAATGGCCATTCATACACATTCATACATGAATTTAACTACAAACAATGAGATTAGATAAAATAAAATAAGATACAATTATATCAAATTGGATTAGATAAAATGAAATAAGATTAAATTAGATTTTAATGATCCTCTGAGGGAAATTCAGCCATTACAGCAACAAGTAATTGTTGTGATACCCGCTTTGGGGAAAATGAATTACAGGCTATTTCTGCTGCACCGTAAAAAGTGGAATTGAAGTCCACAGAGGACAAATGGCCTCTGCAGCAGGTCTTATTTTTCTGCTAGTAAGATAAGTTTGATAACAGAGCCTTTACAAACTCTGAAAGTGTCTGGGTTAGACTAATCCTGCCCACGACAGACTTATGACCCTTGGGCCTAAGTGAGGAACTCGAAAGTCCTGGAGCAGCTGGTCATCTATCGGGGTTCAGCTTTACTCCTTCCCTGTGGGGATGAACCAGGATGGAGTCTGAGGTGTACTGAGGTAACACAGGCAGGGCTAAAGAGGACACTCTATTTCACTCAGGAGGGGACACTTCCCCCTTCAACTGTTGATGCCTCCAAAGAGATGTAAACAGTAAGATGGATGTTGACAGCTGGTGTGGTGCAGTTGTCTGAATTGATATCTGTTGCTGTTAAGATGTAATTTTCAGAGGTGTAGAAAATTGGGTGTGTTTGAGTTCAAGACCAGGCAATTTGAGGTATATAATGTGAAGGTTAGAGGAAAAAAAGCTCAGCTATTGCTCTATTTTTATAGCTTTAAGTCATCATCAAGGCAATATCTTGTCTTGGTTAAATGTTGTCCTTACACTGTTCTATTGATGACAAAAACAAAATTAATAAATTACCTCCCTAGATAATTACCTTATCTACTTTTGCTGCCCTTATCCAAACAGTGTCAAAGCTGTGATGGATTGACAGCAACTTACTTGTATCAGTATTATTTTCAAATGGGTTTTAGTGATGCATGTCTCAGAAACAGTAAAACCAGCATGAACAACCAGAGTAATTTAGATACTATAGTATTCATCTGTTAGCAAAATATGGTAAAATAATAGCACAATTTGACTTCTGCGTAATCAAAATTATATTCTAAAATAGCGGGATTGTTTTAGCTTTTCAAAAGCTCATTCCATAATTTTGGAATCCTGATAACTAGCTAAGTCCTCTGGTCCTTTAAAAGCAAATAAACAGAACATCTTGAAAAGGAGTTAATGAGAACCATAGCTTTTATTCTACCAGAATCTGAGATACCTTTAACCTTAAATATTGATACCTTACCACAAAACACCAAACTGCAAATACATATCAAGTTAGACAAATTAGTTTAGGTAATTGTCTAAATCTTTGAGGCACTTAAGGTTAATACGCAGCTTGATTCAGTTTGTAGTCAAGGTTTTATGTTTTTGTTTTTTTTCTGAGTGAAGGGCACTGTAGTTTATTTTGAGTGTCCTGATGCCATTGTCATTAAAGCACCAAATGTGTATTATTTTACCACTGAAAATAGTCTTCAACAGGTATATGGGGTTAAGTTTACTAAAAACTACAATACCTAGCTGCTGTAGGAAAAATTTCTTAACTGACTTTTAAAATGAAACAATTTTTTCTTAACCATTTTTGAAGATTTACCTCTTCTATAGGACCAAATACCAAAAGCTGACTACCACAGACAGTGGAGGGAAGTTGGAAAGTATTGAGCGACTGACTAACACATTGTGGTTTTGGTTTTAATGTTTTCATTGGATTAGTTCAAAAAGAAGACCAACATACAATAAATCAGCCTTGTCCTTCATGTTAACATGGCAAACAGTAATTCTGCCTCCAATGTTATATTGATAACGAGAATCCGTCTGACTGACAATTTTCGGTTTCTGCTCTCTCATCAGTGAGTCCAGATGTGACCAGTGATCACAAACATCATCATCATCATCATCATCATTATCCACCTGCCAAGGATTCAGAAATGGAGGGCAGATCCAGGAGCCTTGGACTGACTGGAGCCATCTGGGTCTTGATTTTGCCTTGTTTACATATGCTCCTGGCCTTGTAACAGCTGCCTTTTTGCAGCATGAAACTTTCAAGACTTGATTTCAAGCTTATTAATCCAGAAGTGAAATGGCCAGTGGACGTAAAGAGCTCCAGTATGTAATGGAGCACCACTTCCACACAGTGCAGGACACGGTAGGAGTGAACACTAATGTTTATGTGGAAAATTACAAGACACTCTGGCTTATATGTAAGACAGCCTTTGGTTCAGTTTTGCGAATATTAATTATTTTTTATCAGTTACCTGGCATTCATTAACACTAAAAATGACTTATTTATAACAGCCGATGTTAAAACTAAATACAGCATAAGTTGTAAACATTTGGTATTAATTTAATTGTATTTAATTGTACACAGTCTCCACAGCTTTTGCAATTTAAATATTTTTGGCCAAATGAAAATGGCCTGTTTGTCTTATACCATCCTAGGAATCACCTATATGTATAAAACTATGTTTTTTTAAAGACATTTTTATACAAATGTGCTTAAGATTGTGCTTCAGATAATTGAAGGCTCTCAGATATGTACTATATGTCCTTATACATTCTGCTAAAAGGAACAAGAAATTATTCAAGGTATCTGCTTCCCTTCACTTTTAATAGCTGCCATGCAGAATCCATTTAATCGGTATATTTCAATTGCAAAATTGACCTGTGATGCTAGTGCTGAGAGAAATGGTGAAAGGAGAGGGGTGGGCAGGAGGACATTGGGGGCAAGTGAGGGAATCCACACTTCTTTCTTCTTTAGAAATAGATTAGTTTCCTTAGGAATCTATTATCATCTTTCAAACTCAATCCTCCTCTGCCTTCATGTATGCCTGGATGGGAGCTGATAGCTCTTGGAGCCACTGGTGAGGAAGAATCCAGTTGCTTCTACCTGATACCTGACTGCATACTGCTGGTGTGTTGCTGGCAGGTTTCTGTGCAGAGAAAAGGAAAATGATTTGTTTCACATACGCCATGCATGTCTGGTCAATGGCTGAGAGAGAAAAGTACTCAGCGGTGCCGAAAATTGGTTCTTTGGCTCACATATGCTGGGGAACTTCTTATAGAGCTAAGAAAAAATAATCTTATGAGATGCTGCAGAAGCTAAAATTATACTCTTTATAATTAAATTTCACTATTCATATATATATATATATATATATATATTCTGTATAAAAAACACAGAAATGAACAAGAAAAACATTAAAGCTGCTACTGTAAATAGAAGACAATGTAAACATTTACTGAAACATTTAATTACGGCTCGGGAACAGCTTTTTATTTTCCAGCCAAAGGTACAATCTCCTCAGGTCCTTGTTTGATCGTATATGATCATATTTTAAAAGCCTGCGACCTTCCTCTCGCTGCTGTTGTCCTAAAGCATGCATAGAAATTTTGTCATTAGTCATTTTCTCTTTTAATGTACCAGGTTAGACTTTTATCATGATATAAAGCCAAGGCTGTTTGAGCATCTGAACCACTTGAGTAGCTTGGACCGTTTCCAATGACACTTTCAAGGTTTAGAAATGATAACTTTGAGATTAATTATAGTCATCATTTCTTACTGTGCTTTAACTTTAATGTCTGTATATTAGGCTTTTTGAGGTGAGATTCCCAACTGACAATAGTCACTGCTTAACGGCTTTAATACAGTTGTTTAACTACCTAACAAGTCACGACTGCCCCCCCAAAGCATTTATATCACAGGTTGGCACCATCAAAGTCAGTGCTATTGTCATCTCAACAACTGTGTTAATGACATTATTAAAGTGTCTCTAACTAGATAACAGGCAGCAGGCACAGAGCCAAAGGTGCCTTCAGGCTAAATATAGATGTCAGGTTGCACTCATTCTCCTCTACTTAAAGGAAAAAGTTCAGTTTGATATCGAAGGTGATTCTTATCGCTACATATTGGCAGTTATCCAGAGGAGGACAGAAAGAAAGGGCCAGATGCCGATGCACCCACCTCCAGACAGGTGTCATCCTGCAGGCATTGCAATGTGTCAGAAACTCTTGAATAACATGTTTACCCTCTGATATTATGTTTAGAGAGTGACTGTGTCATCTGAACAAGAAATTCTTGTAATACACGCAGCTCTATTTTGGGACTGTAATTTATCCTGCAAGGGTTTTTTTTTTTTTTGATACAATGGTCTTTAAAGGAAAACTGCTTTTTATAACATTGTACTTGCCAAAGTAAGTGCTGAGAACTCAACAGCATTGCTGAAAATAGGTCAGGCGTTGCAACAAACATGAGTAGTCAAACGTTCAGACAGGTTGTAAACAAACCCCCGGGTTAGTAAAACTTGTTCGGAAGAGAAAATAAAGGCAAACAGAAAAATGATTATCCAAACAGTCCATTGTAAACAGTTAAGGGACTTCCACTGACCTACTTAAACTTTGACCTACCATTCTTGCTGTAGTTGTGCACACTGTTTTACTTTGCAATGATTATTAGAGACATTACTGCCTTTGGTTTTACCTCCGAATAAAGTGTTGGCATGTTTACAACCTGATTTTCTGCCTTGCTTGTGTTTTTGTATTTTTAGCAATGTCACTACATTCCCAGATCTCAGCAATTGTTTAGGTGAGTAGTTCAACAAACATGGTTGTATTGGTCTGTACTTGAGTTTAGGTTTATTTTTGTCATATAATAATTCCATGAAATAACTTTAAGACTGTGTTCTAGCGATATCCCAAGGCTTTGGGTTGTCATCCATCCTTTTTGTCTTGCTTGTTAAGGGTTAGGCTCACATTAACTTCAAGTGGCAAGCAGAGCAGCCCAACTGTCCTTTTACTAAACAACACCAAGTGTTCCCCAGGCCTTCAGCTTTAAAAGGATTTCTTCCACTGCTTTACCTTGGAAATGCAGAGTTCTCGCCTTCACTGAAATTTGATTTCAAAAGCATACGGATTAGAAATAAGAAAATGGTATGTACTTATCTTCTGCCAGTTCTTTAATATATATTAGTGGACAGGTTGACCATTTTTTAATAAAATCATGAAAAATAAAGATTATACAACAATTCCTGATCCCGTTTCTTTCAGTGCTGATTTCAGGTATGCCACGCTGTTCCTTCATCTCCACACCTTGGATCTGTGATCTCACTCTTTGGTCAGTCATGACTACACGTGAGAGTTGGAACAAGGTTGAGTAATAAATTGAGATCTTTGATTTAAAGCTCAGCTCTGTCCTCACAGCCAATGCACAGCCAGTTTCCCTAACTGGCAGTCGGTCCCACTGGCAAAAAAGACCCCACGATACTTGAAGTCCAGCTCCTCCCTTCTCAAATGCTGGTTTTCCACAAAGTGATCTGTCTACCTTTACCTAACTTAGTATAACGTGTTGCATGCATGGAAACAGTTTGCCTTTTGTTAACCAATAAATGAAACCAAACTGGCACAAATAAGGAATGTAATGTAAATAGAAATACATATTAAAATAGCAGCAGGACAAGTTAGAGTTACCCTTCATAGTAATTGTGCAGTATTTAGCTTACCAAAAAGGTAAGCTTAAAAGTGAAATGAAATATTGAAATATTTTTAAAGAATGTATTTATTCTTTTGTAAAAACTCGGCCATTGGCATTTTTCATTACTGGTAATTGGGAGTTGAAAAACCTGGACAGTAACAGTGTTCACTTTCTACACCAAGACCAAGAAATGAATAGAGATATTAATGAACTCCTGCATTTTAAAACAGTTGAAGACAGTATTTTTTGAATAGCTCTCATTGCAGTAGTTTCTCTGCGCAGGAGTGAGTCCAATTACAATACACTTTGGTGTCTTCAAAATTACTCAGAGGTAAAGCCTCAGATAGTATGAACCGTTGTCTTTGGAGTCTTTTATCTCCGCATACTGAAGAGGGGCTCCTGGGACATTCTAAGGAGAATAGTGCTGAGCACTGCTTAAATGTATACAGAGATTAATTTCATATTCCCATCGAGGTTTCTGTTTCACTCAAAATTATTACTGTGACCTTGACAACAGCTAACGTTTAGCCTCAATGTAGACGGGAGCTTTAATCATCACAGTGCAGACCCAGACAGAGCTTTGTATCATTCCTAAAGTTGTTAATGGTAAAGCCAGTGTTTTCAGAAGCTTAACTCTGCACACAGGACATGCCTTCCAATGAGTCAAGGAGATAAATTGTTGTGAAATAGGAGTGAGGTCATTTTTAACTAAGGAAGGCTTATTGCTTCAGTAACGCTGCATTTCCCAAACAAGTTGTTTTGGACTAAGGATTTTTGTATTATACAATGTCTAAATAGTATTATAAGCAAATTCATATTAATTATATTTCTTTTAATAGTTTTCCCCCTTGGCTTGCTACATTTCTCCATTCAGTCGGTCCACCACAACTATTCAACTACTATCTGATGGAAGCTCATTTCATTTAGTCAAAGAATTTATATTCCACAGAGGATGAATCCTAATAATGTTCTGACTTGGTTCTTTCTCCACCGCCAGGTCAGAGTTTTCACATTATCCAGTGAAATATCATTACATCTACTCAATAAATTGGCTTGTAAAGACATTCAGATGAATCCTACTGAATCCTATGACTTTGGAAATTCCTTGAATTTTCATCCAGTGTTACCACAAGGTTGGTATTTGTCATTTTGAGTGAAATATTTTTACATCTATTGAATGGATTTCAATAAAATGAACTTTTGGTTAAATCCCTCCTACATAAACCTAAACAGACAACTGTGACCATGTACAGGTGAGCACATTTACAAATACAGTTACTGTCACAAACTGAAGTAGGGAACAGTAATACTGATGCCAACAGGGGTAGCTCAGGTCAAGTGCTGCTGTTGACCCGCTCAGTGTAAAAATACAGAGATATTATGGATAATCACAGGTATATTTTACTGAACAACCACGGCTTGGATCCAACAGTAAGGTTAAGAACCTGCATTTATTCATGACTGCACTGTATGATTTCTATTATTTATTTATTTCATTTTTCATTTTCAGACCGAAAGAGAACAGCCACATCAACGAACACCAAACTGAGCCACCATGCTGCCCCATAGGTACTTTTTACATTTCTTGTGTTCTCAGACATTAACGTCACCCAACGGGACACACAGACACACACACACACCTCCCACCACCTGGAGATAGCAGCCTCTGCCTTCTCACTCTCTTGTTTTCTGTATTCAAGCTTTTTTTTCCTCTGAGAATGGAGTAAACAGTCCCATCAATATAGTGTTTTCCCGCTGTCTACCCACCCACTGCTTCCAGATTATCAGACAGGACTACAGCACAGGTTTCACAATAAATCCTCCCGTCCCTTTCCTCCCTGGCTTTCCTCTTCACTCATCTTCTGTTTCATCACTCTGACTTTCCTCCTTGCTCTTTCACCCTCTACTAAGGTTTAGTTTCACAATATAATATTTTACTATTTCAGTAATCATTTTCAATCTTTCCTTTTCACAAACATGCATCTACAGCACATAAATGAAGGTTGCATATAACATGGAA